AAAGATTCACACCAATAGAGGTTGAATTGTACGTTGTAATCATTTTGTCAATTTCACAATGGATAGGCTGGGGATTACTCTATTTGCATTAAGCTCCTATAATATCCACAAACTGAACGGTGGGATAAATAGTAAATTGTCCAGGGTTATCACATTACTAATATTTGGTTAATCGTCCTGGGGAACGTAAATATTTAGTATAGAACAGAGTAAGACTATTGAGAGCATGTTTATTGAAAGGGAAAGCCTATACATGTACAACATTTGAAATTGACCAAACTTATTGGCCAATTTGAACATGGAATTATTAATTGCAAAGCTTGCGACAAATTTTGTAAGATTGTAGTGCACATACAAGTTGATGAATGGACAATGAAATTCACACGATTTTATTTGTTATTAGATTGTTAGGAAGAATTGAAAGATACTAATGCTATATTTAAATTTGCTAATGTACCCTATTTTTAGTAGTACTTGTGCATACGGCTTACATATGTCCCTTACATACTTGTTCCCTAAGTAAACGGTTTTAAGTGTGCACCTTTAATCAACATATAAAATCATTAGTAAAATTAATGCGTAATTGTATCCTACTTCATGTGCATTCTTAGGGACAGGAGAACGAAACAATACACTAGTTTAACAATTCTTATCTTATGCAACAACCTTCACAAATAATTCACTGGAAATTTAGGTTCATTATTATCCGGAGTAAGCAAGATACATCCTTAAGTCCTGCCAAGCTAGTATATACACAACGACATTATCGCTTACAAATAAACAAACCTATTTACGTCACCTACATCATAAGCGCTATTTGCCATCACACCATCTCCAGGTGCTATATATGCATAACCGTGTAGGGTTGCTCCACCGAAATAAGAATTTTCATAATTCCGGCAATTAATAAATAAATCCTGCTTTGATTTTGTGAGGCCAGTGAGTTGAAGACCTGTAATACAGGTATACAAGCACGAAAACACAGAGGATTTTTGTGGTCAGGTTGACAAATAATCAGGTTTTAGGAGTTCAAGGCTAAAGTGCATGACTAAATATAGCTGATTTGCCCCAATATATGTTTGATGCCTTCAGTTCAAAAACTGTAGACCATTTTATTCCGTAGTCAGTTGTTTGTAGGCTTATTGATTCCATCAAGTTGGATAGCTAGGGGAAATATGATTTCTGGAAGGATTTTACATTGAGGATTATTTATGCAATTTTAATTTATTTTGTTTTCTTAAAAAATGCACAACCGGTCCCCCAATGGAAGTAATTTAAATAAATCTGTTTTTATACACGTTTTCAGACATTTCAGGGTTTCCATTGGTGTCCTATGGTTAGTTTAATATGAAATCCTATATTTTCTTATGTCATAAGGCATGTCCCAGAGTAAGTTAGACAGTTTGATCATAAAGGATACTGAGCAAATAGTGGAGATTGTTGCTCAGCTATATTAGTTTTTTGAAACGCAATTTCATGGGCTTCCAGCAGGTGTAAAGCATTTTTTATTAAAAAGACGAAATTCAATAGAAATCGGGGTCAAAGTAAAAAACTCGCGAATCAAGTTTTTCAAAACTACAAAATTGTCGCTTGACGTGACTCGAACATGACTTGCCACTGCTTCAACGCGGAAAGATGCAACAAAACGGCAATCTACCTTTATATTTCGAGGTATGAGGATGCCAAAAAGTGCAATTTTTAAAAATTTCCAGACCACCTCTTTTCATAGCCACCAATTAAAACTCGAAAGACGTAAAAACGCTTTTCAGCACCAACGCTTCCACATAAATTCGTGGCGCTGCTCGGGTACTCCTTATTTCAAAATGTTAGTTCGGCAACATTAAACTTCATAAACTAAGGCTTACAGAAAAAAATGAACTAACTCTCCCAAGTACGTTAATGACCAAAAAAGCGGAGTGCAAGAAAAATCTAAAAAATCGTGTCGACAAATGTCACTAAAAATTATCGTTATTTATGACGGTAATTACGGCAAAGTTGATCTCTTAGAAACTCCGGAATTGAAATTTTTTCACTCCGCCAACCCCTCATATGTGGAATATCAACTTAAATTTAAAGTGGAAACCAAATTCCCTGTGAAAGTCCTGGTTTGGCTGGGGCCGGACAGTTTTGGCAATATTTCTCAACCTTATATTTGAAAATCTACAATAAATACAGAAGTTAATAAAAACAAATGTTTGAAGCTGTCAGAGCTCTGGATGAGGAAACTTCGTGAACTGAATGAAACTTTAATTTGGCCGGACCTCCTAACATCCCATTACGCCAAAATTTGAACTGCGTACTTAAGGGCTAAAGGAGTCGATTTGGTCCTTTAAAAAGATAACCCCTCAAATGTCCCTCAATTGCAACCAATCGAAAAGTTTAAGTCCTTTTGCAAAACAAGGTACTCTAACCTAAGCTCCAATGCGAAAAAGCTGGAAGAATTCAAGCGTTAATGAGGAAAAATCATAAAGGACGTTTTGCAAGCGACTGGAAAACGGCTAATTTGAGGATTGGTGCGGAATTTCGGATTGGAGGCCAAGAAGGGGCTTTGACAAATCTTCCGAGACAAAAACTGGTTGGTATGATGACCACCTACCCTGCACCGAAGACTGCGTAAAAATATTCCAATCAGGTCGAACTACACAGGTCATGGATCACTGTCTAACTTACTCTGGGACACGGTATATATACATTTGACAAACGTCAAATTTGAAACTCCTGGAATGTTACGTACCAGGTATTTAATAATGCATTTTCTTTATCGAAAACTAGCACGTTACAGAAGGGAAAATTAATATGACCCGAATTTCAGAATTGATTTTATGGGTTTGTGGTCGGAATATGATGATTCTTTGCCGAAATCGTCAAAAACAGCAAATATGATTTATTCCTTTGTTCTGTCAATTTATTTCCAGCCCTCTCAAGTTTTGCCACATCACAATTTTCTTTCGCTTTTCCCCCACGGGGCAAAAACCAACGCGGCTGTGTGAACTTTGCCTCCAATGCTTTTCTTCAAATTGGACATTCAACGGAATGATAAGTGTCATGTGATTCCTAATTTTTGGCTTGATTTTTTGACATATGTAGCTCACTACACAATTCCGTGTTAACTTGAAAGAAGCTGCCATTGTCAGAACCCCGAAAATCCAAACTATTCCGAAAACCGCGGAAATCCCGACTACATAAATTCATACCCACCAAACCCAGGTAAAATTCGGAGTTTTTCTTACCACAGCCAGGTCGCATCTCGACTCGTTTAACAATGAATTCCCAACAATAGATTTACATATGTCATATGTGAAACAATGGAGTCAAATGTGGAATAATGTTTTCCACAATGTATGCAAGGCAATTTATGACCATTGTCTCCGTGCCCGAGTTTAACATAGTGAGAGATTATGCGTTTAAATTGCGTGGTATTACAATAAAGTCAAAAATTTTGGGTGATCGTCTGCTAATTCTAGACAAACCATAATATTTTAGCCATCGAACCTTGCAATACACGGCGACATTTGTGGATCCAATGATAACGAAAGGGATGGCGTAACATACAACCAAGTCCAGCACGGCGACCAGGGTCATCCAATTTTCGGACAGGAAGTACCAATGAACGGGAACAGAAGCGCAACAGAGGGCGGTACCACAAATCGTGACCAGTTTAGAGTTCCGTCTAGTACACCAAGTCCTGGCATTTAAGGGAAAAAATACCGCGACAAACCTGGTTTTTTGAAAGTTTAATAATTAAGTATGTAGGCACAGTAAAAGTCAGATACACATATAATAAGATGTCTAAAAATGTCAAAATGTCGGATTCCCGAAGGGAGAACGTGGCCGGCATAAGGTTAAAAAAAGTGTCTGCTTTAAAAATTACAAACCATGGCCTTGTCTATCTTCAACCGTTCTTGAACTTTGAATGATTGAAAATCTACAAGATTACTGCATAAAAATGAAATAAGAAAATTTATTTAATAAATTACATGGCAATTTGTACACCAATCGCTATCCAGTTGTGACGCAAACAATGTTCAACCCAGATTATGTTTTACCACCTCACTTTGAAAGCAAGGACCAACTCTATAGAAGCAACGGCATGACATCTTTGGCTACAAGTCATGGCGCCAAATATGAGTTTGTATTGTAATGCAAGTTATGTTCTTTGCAAGCCCAGATTGTATTTTGAAAAAATTACTTCAAATCAAGATCTAGTATCTTGTATGCATCACAAAAGTTGCTAAAAGTATTTTGTAGCTTGTGTAACGCTCAGTATTTGGAGTTAGCATCTTGTGTCTTAAGGGTTCGTTCAAAATATTTTGTATCTTGTATCGTTGAAGAAAAATATCTTGGCCAGCCGTAGAAGAGTTTCAGATTCCACTCGACCTACAAGCCTTTTCGCTAACTTGTGGCACCCTTGACGCTCTGAATTTTGCATATCTGATGAACTTCCGCACTAAATGTTGTTTGTATAAGGTTGGTTTCTGAAATTGAAGTGGTCAAAACATAATCAGGGTTGGACACACATACTTTGCGCCCCAAGTACTAAATATTACCGGGTATGTTTCTCGTCTCTGTTGTCAGTTTCGTGTACCGCAAATATTAATAATATTAATTTAATATGTATATGTACTTACCTTTGCAGACAGATGATGACCATGTACAAGTGAGAACACAGTTTTGCTAAAATACTTACATATGTACATACATACCTACATTTCTTACGTATAAATGGATGTAATTTTAATTCCTTGATCATAGGCATTACCCCAAACCTTTATTTTACATGTACATATGTTTATTTACTCACTACAAAACAAGGCGAAATACACGAAGGATTGAATTGATGGGTCCCTCAAGAAGAGAGGCTTATTCCCACACCCCTGGAACACCGAGGGCTGGCTGGTAAAAATCAGCAAAATCAACGACATTAGGCAGATTTAGAAGTCAGTCAAACTTGTGTTTTACTCGACCCGCAACAGCAAAGCCTCAATCTAAAATGGCCCCCAGTCGAGTTTCCTCAGTAAATCTGACTGAGAACTGGGCTCGCCAGTCGGCCTGACTCGACTCAGGTTTTCTATGCTTATTCTCATTTTACCCCAAGCGGCAGGTTAATTTCTATGAACATTCTCACTTTATCCACATTCAACTCTCTCCTTACTACATGTGTTCATTATTTCCAATTGATTTATTTCAATCAACTAGTTAATTATCGCAATCGCAGTTATAATAACTTGTGATACAGCAGAGGTGTAAAAAGGAAATAACATCGTGTCTGGAATGTAAGTTGAATTCTATACTTATAAATACGGCAGTGGTTTATCAAGAAACATAAATCGTGACCGTATCAAGCCTCAAATTGCATTTCCAACTTAACAATGCAATTTCATTTTCTTGTTATCTTTTTGTGCTGTGTAGAAGGTCTGGACGTGAAGAAAATTACGATGAAAAAAATGAAAAAGCTCCTGCAGGTTATCAAAGATGCTATGAACGATTATATAAAAGACGCTGGCGATAAGAAGATCTTCCCCCACAAAAAACAAATTCAAGCGTGACAACTTTTATGAACTTCTAAAAAATCGGATGATAGGGAGCATGGATTAAAAACACCCACTTTCAAATTGAAACAACAGTACTTTATGTAATGAGTTTTGAACGGGAATCATGGATGACATTTTAAATGTTTTATTGTTCCGAGCTTTCGACAGCGAGCTGCTATCTTCTTCAGGGAGCGATATTGAAATTTAAATTTAAATTTATTGAAACAGTACTTTATTTTCTTGTATGACAGATAATTATGATGTAATCTAGTCCGTGATCCATGCTCATCACTTCAGAGGTTGTCAGATATATGTGAAATAAATAAATGATCTCAAATGATTGATCGAATCAAGTTGTATTTAACGACACGATCATTTTTACATTTACAATCTCTGCATATAAATACCTTACTTAATCTAAGCTAAGAAATCCTCTAGTTTAGGTGGCGAAATGTTGAAGAGATGCAGCGGTTTGTAATGGAATACAGATCGATTGTTCCAAAAAATTACTAAATGCAATTAAAATCACAAATGTTTTTATTTAGTTCAACTACGGTAAACAAACTGAGAGGTACAACAATTGAGATTTGAATGGCCCGCGTACAAACTGAGTCGAGTCAGAAAAAATTTACTCGTTTCTAAAACAGGTTTAAAAATCTGACTCGAGTGAGACTTCGACTCGGAGTCGAGTCGAGTCAAACCAAAGTTCGACTGATTTCTAAACCTCACTATTAGACAGTCCACGAACTGAAGGAAGATTAACACTGTTGTCATAGGAGAAATGTCCACCTCCTTCCTACACAGCACAATAATACTAACACTGGTTACCGTTAGGCATACTGTGCCTAAAAACGTAGTAAAAATACCCACAATTTTTTGCATTGTGATACTTAACTTTCATGAAAGATGATACTTTATAATCGGGTTTTTAATGTATTTTTTTCTGCTTAACTTTCCCTTCTTATATGGTTTTAAGTAGAGACCTAGTCACCTGCATGTTTTTTTATTTACAAAATTAAAATTTAATTCCGTCTTAATACCGGAAATTGTTATATTTATGCATAAAGCTAGTGGGTTATAATTCTAATTTTTTTCATTACAAAAATTTTACTTTTTACTTATTTATTATTTTGTATTTGTATTTTATAATGGAAGAAAACAGAGTTAGGTATAATCTCCCAGCTTGTAAATGTAAAAATTATCAATTTTTTGAAGCAGTAAAACTTAATTTTGCAAAACAAAAGGCACGGTGATGGACACGTTTCAAGGTCGCTATTCAAAATACATGGAAGTATGGAAAATTAAGAAACATGATCAAAACCGATGATGAATTTCTACATATGCAGTCGGGAAGAACAGTCGCACGATACTGGACTTGGAGAAAGTGCATGAAACTTGAGCATCTACATGAATGTGTGAAAGCATCCCACAAAAATATGTACATTTACTTGATCTGCACTCTAAATAATTTAATTAGACAAATTGTAGACAAATCGTCACCTCGCGAAGGTCCTACTTACAGTTTTGCATTTTTGGGTAATTATTGAGCAGGAGTCTTATCGCCAAGGGGAAACATGTAAGTTAAAAAAAAAGATAATTTCTACAATATTTGGAAATTCTATTCTATCTATCTGCATATAATATAAATGGAAGTTTTTATTTTTTCAATGACTACGTCGCGTCCGTTTTGTAAGATTTTTGGTTTATTTCCCATAGGTGACAAAACATCTCCGTAAGCATTATCTAAAATTTAAGCACTATAGTACCTCCGCGGGTGGGTATTTGTCTCCAAATTATTTAGAGTGTGTATTCCTCCACATTTCGGCTTGGCGAGATGATTACAATGTGCTTAGAACTATGGTAATCAATACAAGGTAATAATCATGTACAAACAGATGAAATGAAAGTGAACAGTATTTTAACGATTTGTGTTCCCTCTTTCTTCCTGGTGAAAGAAAGTTCAGTACAGAGTGCTCCAAAACCTGTCCTGCCTATTTCGCAAAACCCGCTTTTTACAGCAACGATTTTGTCACACTTAAAAAGCTGGTTCTGAGTTTTAATAATACTAAAAGTTCCGAATTATTATATATCCGAATTTACTACTTAACTTTCATGTTATTTTTTACGTTTTTGCTAAACCTTTTTACGCGCAAAAGCCGACCTGCGTAATGTTTGTTGGCGTGAAATTTAAAAGAATTTAAGCAAGTCATTTCTCGCGAAAACTCGTACTGACAATGGAGGTCTCCCAACGAATGCTCACAGATTTGGACCAAACCGGCGTCAATCGATCACAAATATAATTAGGATGAAATTTGCAAATAGAACTATCTGCCAATGCGCAGGTTTGGCGGAGATATTTGCATAAAAAGCGGAGAAAACCACGAAAAAGCCATGCAAATTTTTAATTTTCCAAATTTGCTGCGAATTTTTCCCGCTTTGGATGCAAATATCTCTGCCAAACCTGCGTATTGGCAGATAGTTCTATTTGCAAATTTCATCCTAATTATATTTGTGATCGATTGACACTAATTTCGTCAAAATCTGTGAGCATACGTTGGGAGACCTCCATTGTGAGTACTAGGTTTCAAACCAGATGAACAATGGGGAAGCGACAGATTATGTATTTATTTGGTTATCGTTTATCTTATATTCAAATGTCGTCAACTTTTTTACTACAAATAGCCGACAGCATTCGATGATAAACTGAATGTGAATTTGATTATACTTACTGATAACTTTCAATTACACACAGTAAATCGTCATCAGGCAAAAATCTAATTTATTTTACTACATTTGCTACCTGGCATCTCATGTCCAGAATACCAATGTACATGTGCATGTGTAACGGTATTATTATGTAAATAATGGAACAAATATGCATATTCATATGCACATTAGTTTCGTACGCTTTTTCCTGGACAAATTCTGCAGGATATCAACGACGACGTGGTGGAAACAAAAGCCATCATTTCATATGTAATTATCACCGGCATCACTGACATTATTAATCCCTATGAGGATATGAATGTACGCATTCGAAAATATTTGTATGGTAAATATAGTTATTAGTTCTATGGTTTAAGACATCTTAGGTCCACGCATAAAAAAGATTTACATATGTACATATATATACATGTATGTATGTATTTATATATAAACATATAATTAATAAATATGTAAAATATTTATTAATATAACATATATATAACAATATATATATATATAATAAATAGCCGAAAATCTTTACTAACTATAGTTCAAGTCTGCACGAAGTGCAGCCTTTAAAATTTTGAACTTTTTATTTTTTTATTTATTTTTTTTGTTTTAGGGAAGTTGAAATAATCTAAAATATAAAAAATTTTAAAAGTGCAGACATTGCCAGTTTATTGAATGCTTCTTGCCCAATCAAGTCAATCACGTCGTCTTGCGACTTATCGCTTAGGTGTCGATTGCCCAGAATAAATCTAATCGCCGCCTTGTCCAAATCTTGACAAACTACAAATTAAATATCGACCTACAACAATCATAAATTAATAAAATACCAGACTGTTCGCTGATGGCGCGTTTCGAACGAGGAAGAACACATTTTCCGTTGTAATATTTCGAATCAGGAGCTTCTCACAGTCCTTGTGTACTTCGTCGTGACAATGCGAGTCCGCTAACTTCATGAGACCTACGAAACAACAAATTGGAATATTTATTTATTTCTGGTGGTTTGTTCGAGGAAATATGTAGATTCGGTTAACCAAAAATATTTATAGAATCTGTCTCCGTGACGTTGATCCTCCCATGGTACAGGTAGAAAAGGAGAGCTTCAAAGATTTTGTAGGTCGTGTCCTTAATCTCAATCGCGCTACAAAATTTGGAATTCAAATTTCTGATTAAATACAATTTGAACCAAACAGTGGAATATTTTTCAAGCTATGGCGAGATTGTGTAACGAGTTATACAGAAAAATCAAGCAAGACAAAAATTAGGAATCGCATGACACTCATTTATCTTCCTCTCCTTTGAATGCAGTCTTTAAAAAACATGTCGGAATAGTTCAATTTTTGATTACAATTGTTTCGACTTTTCCTCCACGGGAAGAAAACAAGGCTCGTGAAGTTTTCCTCGAAATATTTGTCAAGGTGATCATTCAAAGGAAAATTAGGTGTCATGTGATTATTAAGGGGTGAAAGCCCTTTATAAGATCGTTATGTCCGTCCCTCTGTCTGTCTGTCTGTCCGTAGCTCCGATAACTTTTGAACGGAAAGACATAGAGACTTGAAATTTTGAACGTAAACTCCTAACGTCAAGGGACAGGACGAGCTCGAAGATGGACACTGTGACATAGTCACCTGTGACGATGATGTCGTCACAGTGACGAAAAGTGACGAAAAAGTGTCATGTGTCAGTTTTGACATGTGACAAATCATTTGAACTATTTTTCGATAAGGAATTCAAAAATTCGTGTCATTTTACGATTGGACGTCACCTGTGACGATGACGTCGTCACAGGGACGAAAAGTGACGAAAAAGTGTCGCGTGTCAGTTTTGACATGTGTCACATCATTTTTAAATATTTTTCAACGTCGAATTCAATGGTGACCTCCATTTCGACCTCAGAGGTCATCTAAAGGTCATAGGGCATATATATGTCAATTTAACAAGAAATTCATTTTAACGTATGAAACAGTTCTGTCACCCCTTGGTTATATTCGTTGTAACGGTTTATTAATTTTTTGCTTGATGGTTGTATATAACTCTGGAAATACCGGGGTAGCTTGAAAAGAGATTTCACTGTGAATAAATCCATATTTATATTTCCAACGGGTACTTACGATCCATGACTTTCCCTCCATTCGTTGCTAAACATCTTTGTGAAATAATCACTCCGTGCCTTCAGTATTAACTTGTGTGCTCTAATGGTTTTCCCTTCCAGGGAAAATGTAACGTCTGCATCATCCTGTAAAATTTAAAAAAATCTTTCCCAGTTTAAATTTGTAACTAGATAAATTTATAAATTTTGCATTCGCACAAATCTGTACTAACATCGTTTCCCCACAACTTGCCAATGTCATCAACAACGGTGCGTAGTGTGGGTGTATTTTGTGCACAAATGGTGTGGTAAGTTTCGTCACAAATTTCAGCAAAAAACTTCTCAATCGGGTTATCACCTGGCAAATAAGAAACAATTTCAAGTGTTTTCACAGATTGGTTGACCGCATCATGGATTTGCGCAGGATATCCTAACGCAAAGCGAATTCCATCCTTCACCTCGACAACGACATTGTCATACCTGCACCCAGAGGTTACAATATCTTGAAATTGTTGGGAGAGGAAGTCCAAGTCCCAAACTGGTCTCACAAGGGACACTCACGACCTGTCGTCTGAGTCCAGGGTACCCACTATGTTTTTTAGAATCTACTAGGACCCCAGATGAAGGGTCCATTCATATTTCCGTGTAAAACTCATATTTGGCGCCGTGCCGTGGCGTCAAATTCGCCAAATTTGATGGTTTTACATTTTAAAACCGCCATAACTTTTGAAATCCTGGACGGATTTTCAAAATTTTTGGCAAAAATCATGACAAGGAGTTCAACTTTCGTATTCTATGAAATTTTTTCCAAAATTATCGCTTTTAACTTTTCGCAAAATTTCGAAATTTTGGGTTCGTCGAAAAAATGCTAAAAATATCTCAAAAATTAAAATTTTTTTATTTTTATTTTTTTCTCTAAAATTTCGACTTTTGTGATCATTTTAAGCATAAAATTTTAAAAATCCGACATAAACTGCAAAAGTTATGAGGGTTTGAAATTGGTCGAAAATGCAAATTTTTAAGTTTAGCGCCACGCCATGGCGCCAAATATGAGTTTTACACGGAAATATGAAGGAATCCTTCATCAGGGGTCCTAGTAGATTCTAAAAAACATAGTGGGTACCCTGGACTCAAACGACAGGTCGTGAGTGTCCCTTGTCAGTTCATATTCGTCATCCACCGTCCGTCTGGATAACCTCAAACATTGCACCACTCCATTAATCCTCAATGCAAAAACTACATTTCTGCTTGCAGTTATCTGCAAAACGTTTAAACAATTATTTTCACGATTTCAAATTCAGAATGAAATTTACCACAGCATTTTGTTTAAATCGATCGGGTCGGATTAAATGAGGACTCGAGAAATGGTTTGGGTATGATTGTTTTTTATGGCGTGGGCCTCAGCCCCTAGCCTCGTGGGCCCCAGCCGCTAGCCCCTCAAAGGTAGGCCTCAGCCCGTACCCCCTATCCCCGTGGGCCTCAGCCCCTAGCCCCTAGCCCCGTGGGCCTCAGCCCCTAACCCCTAGCCCCGTGGGCCTCAGCCCCTAACCCCTAGAAGGCGGGCCTCATCCCCTAGCCCCTCAAAGGCTGGCCTCAGCCCCTTCCCCCTAACCCCTCCAAGGTTGGCTTCAGCCCCTACCCCCTTTTTTCATTTTACCCCAGAAAAGTACATAATTTTTCCTTAGGACCGGAAACCCTAATTTTACTCCCAAACTACAGCAATAATGAGGTTTGTAGTTTCTATTCTAGCATATCGAAATATAAACATTTTCCGCCAAGGCGCGAGATGTCCGTGTCGTCTTAAGATTATATCGCTAGACTGTGCCCCTGCATTTTTATATTCATGTCCCACATTGGAGAAGAGTCCCTTCTTAGCGAGCGAATCGTTCAGATGCATACCAGGTACGAGGCAAGCTTGAAACATTTGGCTACCCATTTAAATACATGTAACCCAAACCAAAGTTAAATTAAATCGTCACGTCCACGTCGCTATTACTCCCTCACACGTCATACTCCACGGCACACAATTAAATCCCCAGCAAATAACTTAACTTCTATATCACGCTCAGTACCTAACTGATAACTAGCCCATATGTAACTAGCCCATAACCAAGGGTGGGCAAACATTACACTCGTCCCAAGCCGTTCGTGTATTTTCTCCCTTCCAAATATATCTAATACACGTCAATCTTACTAAATCGTTTGACGCTCTAATCGGAATATATGGGTTGGTGACTAATGATCGACAAACTAGTCCTTAACACCTGATTGGTCGACAAACTGCTGGTCGCCAGTCTCAACTGGTCGACACGGCATATTTGGCGCCCATCTCAACAGGTCGGTAGCATATGGTCGATACAAGCTATAGGTAATAAGTAATACTTGTAAGGGAAGTTAAATTTACGCACACTTGATTTTATTCGTACCAAATACCCAGAAATACTGTCAAAACATAACATACATCATTTGTGTAGAAAATCTAAACTATATAAAGCAGGCGAGTGTATCGCTGCTGGGTCGGAGGCTTAGTTGAGAAGTTAGCCTCTCCTTTTCTCTCTCCACTCTGCAGAGAGAATAGGAGATGCTAACTTCACTAATATTGGGGTAACGGGCTTATCGACGGGCCTATTTTGCACGCCAATTGACGGGCTTCTACACTAGTACTTTTTATTGCAAACGTAGATGTTTTTAATTGTAAGTAAATTCCTAAGAGGTCCGTGAGTTGTAAATTCATGTTGGTTAAATATGAGTGCGTGAACGTTGAGTGTCGCGAAACTTGAATTACTGTGCACCAAATTCTGTAGATATATTTGTGTGGTATTTTATTTTCCGTTCACGGCGAAGTACGCAAATGTGCCTGGATAAATTACCTGACACCAAAATTTCTAAAGATAATACCATTTTTTTATTTTGCGGAAAACTCCTGGAAATTTTAATTGGTTCCTATCTGGTTTAATTATGAAATTTACATCTTACTGAAGTCAAATTTTACTAAAAATTTTGCAATGGGAAAGAAGTTAATTTCAGTCCCATAAATATAAAAATATTAATTTTTTGCCCAAACGAATTTACTTTGTAGCAACCATGGAACAAGATATACCTACTACTGCCATATATTCTGTCTCAAGCATTCCGCGCGCAAAAAACATCAGTAGCAGTTACGTTAGCCAGTTGTACTATTTTTTATTGAATTCCCCATGCAATTGTCTATCAGAAACCATGTTCCGAAATTTTTTGTGATACAAGGTGTTAAAATGACAGATCGGACAAATCGACGTGTTGCAATTTTTCAGAAACATTTTTGCAAACATAAAAATTCGGCATTTTTCAATAGATCATTAAAAATCGGAACTAATTGCAAGATGGTCGACCATACCATAAAATGATCCACTAACATTGGCAGTGTTGATAACCGAAAACCGAGTTGAAGGGAACGGTCAAAAAGGTCACAAAAAATCACGAAGGCGCACAAAACCTGAACTCGGCTGAATTCACGCCGGATCCTAAAAAAAATTTCCCTACAAATGAACGGTCCAAGTAAAACTACGTCCCTGGCCCCTAAGCTCGACCTTGGACTTATGTCTTTAAGATGAGAAAAGAAACACTTGCTAACTTCACGCCAAGTAAAAATAGTACCCTTGAAAGCCGGGCACTGATCATGCGGTACGCGCTTGAAAAATGGAAATAAGTATTTTTAAGATAAGTAAGATAAGTAAACTTTCACAATAAAGGCCATATAAAATTAGCAAAAGCACTTTGTCCACACCCCACCAGTCCATATTATTCATAAAATTTTTTTAAATATTAATCGGACCCACCATCCAGATTCTGTGATTTTTTTATTCGGCGTAGATTGGATTTGGTCAAAAAAGTGAATTGTCTTCCTCTGGGAGTGAAATTTCTTGTCAAAAAGTATTTTTTGAAGTTATCGAGCGAATGGAAGAACCACTGGACCACACTCTATTAAAAAAATAGCTGCTAAGTATTCGAGCAGGGCTCAGGACCTGCTGATAAGGCAAAAATAGTAAAAATGGGGTAAAATTCCAAAATTTCTTACTCCATTTCGGATCAAGAATAAAATTCACTGTCGCCGAACCTCAACCTTCTGGAATACGATATGTGGTCCAAACTGAAGCTAGATACATGTGCTAAACACCACACAAGTTTGGAATCCGAGAAAAAATCTGTCGCTTAGAAATGAGACTAATATTCCTTGGACTGAGTGCGTACCGGGAGTGAGATGTGGATATCTAGACTTTGGGCTATTGTAGCTTCGAAAGGAGGAAATTTTGAAGAGTGCCCGGTATATTTTGTAGGGAATTTAATAGGCTTTCTCATGATATCGTTCGTTTTTTAAAATTCACTAAACTGAGTCCGCTACATTAATTTGTTTAGTGGTCAAAACTTATGGCAGTAGTAGGTAGATGGAAGATGGAGAGAATGGACATCACACTGAGCGCCCTCGATGGAGATACTGCACACTAGCTACCTTGACTCCCTTTTTGAACTAATTAAATACAGATAGGCATGTTGGCGATAACCTTCGACCTGCAATGGTGTGGTGAAGTGTAAGACGGCATTTTAATTTTTATCAGGCACACTCAAGTCGGCTCATTTCGCTTGTTAAAAATCGCTCATTTTTCAATTTAACTTTGGCTTCACAGTTTCAGTAAAACGTTGTTTAGATGACCTTCATATCTAATTTCAGAATTTCCGCAAAATCTTCCCTGATCATTTTTTTCAAACTCTCCGTCTGTATAAACGGAAACAATCAATTATGCCCAGTGCTTGTGTGAGCGCCTGTCAGCTCCCGCTGGCCGCTTGGCGCCCCGGGAAATTGCCCTAATTGCCCACCCATAGGTTAGGGCCTGGTCACGCTGTCACTCTCCTTCCCAATATACTCACGAATTCCAAACTTCCCTCTGCTCTCATCTCAAAGCCAGTTTAGATACACATCACAGAACATATTTTTCATTGGAAAAATTTATTACCTCACAACATTTACGATTCAAGCAAATGTCGGCAAAAACCGACAAATTGGAACAAGTTACATTAATACGGTCACCCAGCAATTAAAAGACACTTCCGACCTAACGATTATGGCCTTCATATATTGACTATCCATCCCCATCGTCTCTTTTCATGGCTTAAAAGTGGCCTTCAAACAAGCCGACGTAAGGTTTAATTTATCTTCAAATTTATCTTCAAATTTATCTTCCTACAGGTATGTCACCCCATGCGTGATTCTTCTTTCCATCAAAGTGTCCGCAGAGTGTTCCGCAATGTCTGCATAATTCGTATGCCAAACTTATTCCCTGTTATCTACTTTTGGCAGAATCGGAATGTTTCTCCTCCAGGACGTTCGCTTTCCTGCCTTAAATACCATTTCAAATGTAATCCATGTTTGGACTATTTTTCCCCATAACCTAACACCTTCAATTCCCCTCTTGCATTGAAATCACCACCAGCAATTCATGACGCATTCGGGAATTTTTCAATAGTTTGTTCAATGACGACAAGTTTGAAATGCATTGCTTCTAATCCAGCAGTTGATGGTGGGAAGTAGCAGTAAATAAGGATGTGTTGAAGGTTGGAATGCCGACATGTGCATACAGTAATGATGGTGTTTGGGCTTTGGTGAGGAATTGATGAGATCCTACAGTGTGCGTTATTGATAAGTAATGCAACGCCACCACTTCGTCTTCCTTTTCCTAGGGGTTTGACTGCGATAGAGTCGATGAGGGTGAAGTTGGGAAGGAACGGTGGGTGAGGAGTGGGTGCGCCACGTTTCTACGAGGCCTAATGCAGATGGCCTAAATCGGATAGGAAGTTCGATTCAGGTAAGGGAAGGTGGGAGAGGTTTCTTATGTTTTCTGCATTAATGAAGGTGACAGAGAAGAAAGTAGGTGTGCTTAGCTTGTGTTTGCCCTTCATGGGCTGCTTGTCTCATTGCACCTCCATGATGGATCCGGAGGTCCATTTGTATTGAGGCTGCCTGCTTTTTGTGGACCCCTCCGGATGAGACCTTTCACTTCGCGATCAGCTTTTTGCAAATCCTTTAGCTTTCCTCGGAGGTCCGTGCATGGTTTATACTTATATTATATCGATTACGAGCACAACGGTACTTATTAATATCAGATATTGCCCGCGTATGATCGCAAATTTACCTAACTTTTACGAAGTATAGGGGAGGAGTTTTGTAGTGCAGATTCCCTCATCCTCTTTATCCATTCTGTAACCTTGTAATTTAAGTACAGCCAAAAGTCTTAACACATAATTACTTTTGGGCCAATTGTAATTTGTGTGTCAAAATAAAGCCCTTTACTAAGCTTATGCTATCCATTTCAGATTGATCATTTCTCGAAATGATAACCGTTCACAACACGTATTATACCTTACAATCCTCTGATATTTATATTCCAAATTTAATGTTAAATATAACACTGTAAATCATGTGTACCTTGGTGCACGTGTTTGTACTTCATACGGGTCTCTCATTAATGTTTAAACATTAATATATTTTACTAGCAATATAATACAATTTGAATTGATTGATTAACTGCGCGGTCTGTATCTGAAGTATTCGCTCGCTAAGAAGGGACTCTTCTCCAATGTGGGGCATGAATATAAAAATGCAGGGGCACAGTCTAGCGATATAATCTTAAGACGACACGGACATCTCGCCCCTTGCAGGAAAATGTTTATATTTCGATATGCTAGAATAGAAACTACAAACCTCATTATTGCTGTAGTTTGGGAGTAAAATTAGGGTTTCCGGTCCTAAGGAAAAATTATGTACTTTTCTGGGGTAAAATGAAAAAAGGGGGTAGGGGCTGAAGCCAACCTTGGAGGGGTTAGGGGGTAGGGGCTGAGGCCAGCCTTTGAGGGGCTAGGGGATGAGGCCCGCCTTCTAGGGGTTAGGGGCTGAGGCCCACGGGGCTAGGGGTTAGGGGCTGAGGCCCACGGGGCTAGGGGTTAGGGGCTGAGGCCCACGGGGCTAGGGGCTAGGGGCTGAGGCCCACGGGGATAGGGGGTAGGGGCTGAGGCCTACCTCTGAGGGGCTAGGGGCTGGGGCACACGGGGCTAGGGGCTGAGGCCCACCACATTTTTTTTTATGTTAAATCCGATAAATTGATTGGGCCAAAACAGTTAAAACTTGTCTAAAAATATTTTAAATCGCCTTTTATCATGAGGTACATTATTTTTACCTTCTTATACTGGGAATTTTGACCAAAGGCTCTCTTTGTCACCTTGTTCTCCAATTCCCATTGAAACAACTGTAACAAATGAAAGATGTAACCACTCTACCCACACTCTCCTCTCGTGCTCCCTCTGGGCACGAACAGTGCATCTATGTGCACAAGGGGAAGAAGTGATGATGGCATTGGCATTGAAGGAGGAGTAAAGCTGTAGCCATTTCTGTAAAATATAAACTCGTGTACAATGTAAAATCTCGCCAGTAATAAACTGACTTCGGAAAGAGACACTTGACCCTACTGCCTCCCAGGAATCATTTATTGGGCCCACCACCAGCCTCACATCTTCACATTTTTCATCAGTCATGATCATCCTTATCATATTGTGGCTAATCATAGGTTATCATTAAGGACTGGGTAAGGTAAAGTGATCGGGCACTGGTGTGAATCGACCAGTAAGGTAGTAAAGGGTCATAAAGAAAGTAGTTCCAGTTCAAAATCAAGACAGAAAAACAAAATCTGAAACAAAAGTCAGTGGCGGCGTTCCAGAGAGTATACATTCCTCCCCCCCCCCCAGAAGATCAGCAAAACCGTTTATTGCCTATATCTACATGTAAATATATATGCAAGTCCCTCCTCTTCCAATGCCACAATGCTAATGTTCCCACACGTCCCCCAACTTCAGCCGCCAATCAAACAATCAAACGCCGCCAATAAATTTGGTTACTCTCCATCTAAAATTTTGATTCAAAGTAGAACCCCGTATGTACATACCTCTCCACTGAAATTTATAGCAACGGAAATGTGGTCAGTGCACGCGATCGAGATGACTGCTTGTCTATGAAAGTGCTGCTGTGCAATCAGAACTGGCTCTGGAGAGCCGTGGGGACCTCTTTCACCCCACTGGTATACTTCGCCACCCGTTGTTAACGCCATGACACGCCCACGAAAGGATAACGCTACTGTCTGTACTTTCTTTTCAGTCAATGCACCCCCCACGAGGTGCGGTGTCGCGAGCAACGTCGTCAAATCGGGCTGACTCCAATCAAGCGTGCCAGGTTGGATGCGGCCCAAGTTTTTAACATCCTCGTCACATTTAAGCACCCCGTAACGCATGGGGTGGTCATTAATCCAAGAATATAGGGCACCGTCGTCCGTCAAAGCGAGGAAAATTGATCCAACAAAAAATTCTGAAAAAATAATGAGGGTGTTTCGATGATGAAATATGTGGAAATTTATAGATTTCCTAAAAAATACCCCATCAAATTCGTATGTCAGGATTTAAAGAATTCCTCGGAATGAATGTAATTTAAATCGCTATCCATGAGCATTCTTAGGTACTACTTAGGATTTGGGGACTCTGTAAGCTTGAAGATTTTAAGGAAAGTTATCCCTTGCATTTTATTCTTTCCATGAAAATAGTAAAAACTAAGAGCATTAATTTTCACCAGCGTTAAATTCTGGTCAAACCTGCATCTCTTTTCGACACGATATGACCTGATTAGAAAAAATTGGGCGGTCAACTCGAAATTTAAACTTAAGGGTTTAGTGACCTTAGTGAATTTAGTTAAATTATTCCATTTTTTAACAGAATTTCAATCCGAGTTTATTAATATATATATACATATTGTATGTACCTTTAACTCGGACACGAGACAATTCCGGAATTCGGGTGACATTTACTTCGCCATTATTGACGTCACTGATGTATGAATATGTGTCGTCCTCCAGCGTGACGACGAATCCTTTCCCTTCCCCGACATGTGCTAATTTCGCCGAACTCAAAATATTTTCTACTTCGGGTCCAACATCTCGGAAGATTGACCAAAGGTTTAATCTTTTCCTGGGAATGATCACGGGGGACCGATTATTCATTTTATTAGTGAAAAATACGTTTTAAAGTAAATGAGTTTGAAGATTTTATTTATAAGAACACGGAGAGAATTTAATCAATTCAGAAATATAAAGTTGTGCAAATCAGCATGGATTTGTTTGCAGTTGCCACGAGTAGTTTGAGATTAAAGTGAGATTTATGTGTAAACGTTTCTGCTGAAATGAGGATGACGAATTAAAGTGGCCAATGTTAACATGTACATACATACATACATATTTTTTTAAATTTGGCTTTGTCTATATTTATGTGTGAGTTATAATTTTGGAATTTGAATTATGCTCTGTAAATAAACAGATAAATTATTTTATATATGACTCAGTTTATTTGAAGGCCTGTTTCCAATTGCGGCATAGGTCTTAGATTTTGTCCTCGAATTTATCAATAATCGCCAGTATGAAAAGGAACTTATCGTCAAAAAAATTAAAATTTAATTTCAAATATTGGCCAAGTAATTATTATTTTTCGAAATTTTAAAACCGCGTTGCATTTTAAATGTCAAGTGCACCAGATTTTTGACACAGTTTACTCCAACTTAAACTTTATTTTATTTGCCGTAATCTACTCGATAAAATTTTTAAAACTTGAAAATTTGCAATTTTCAAAATTTTGAATGACAATTTTGAAGCGCTGTAACTTCTTGCCCCCACCCATGTTTTTCTCAATTTTTTGAAATTATGATCTAGTGACTAAATAGTTACTAACAAAAAAAATTTACGCCAAACATGAGTGGGGACAAGAAGTTATTGCGATTTTACTGACACATGTTAGCTTATGGGTGGGAATATTCCCAAAATGATAGAAAAACAAGGGGCGTAAACAAAACTTTTAGTGACGAAATTCTAGTGTCACATCCATAAAGATTATTTTGAAAGCTGACTTCAAAAACTATAACTTAAAAAAATTAGCCCTGACCGTGTCGACATACAAATCGACAGCCCGTACTACGCCCACAGCTGCCGTCAGTAGTGTCGCTCGGAGTGGAGAGGCAACATCTCCGCTCTCATGACTCTCCTCCAATCGAAGGTTTTGACTTGGAGTGACTCATATATATTACATTTTTATTGCATCCTAAATATTCTTGTACTTGCTTACTTTAGTGTCTATTTTAAAACTGTCTTCAGCGTTAATTTTTAAAATTGTGTACATGGAAGATTTTTATTTAGCATTTTATTTGAGGTAACAATATCTTTTACTAGTACTGCATTAATCGTTGATACATAGATATACAATTTACGGCAGTATATAATAAAGCCTAAATAAAATAAAATAAAATAAAATAATTAGGTATGTCAAATATTTGCTATAAGGCTGCAGGAACCAGAATATTTAATTGAAATCTTTATATCAGCAAACCTTTAAAAAAATCTCTGATTTTTGTATAGTTTTTCACATAAAGATCAAAATAATAGCAATTTTGATACACTGATACATGCATAAAATCCACGCATACAAAATAAAACTTAACGTGAATACGCCCACGTATATATCTACATAGGTATGTAAATGTGTACAATACGCATAGTATTCATGCATACATACATACGTACGTATAAATGGGTAGATCATGTAAAATGGGAATGTGGAATTAATGTACATAGATATTTACATATGTACAGTGGGATTATTTGTGCGTGTCACCTCAATTGCATATTTGTATTGTCAGAAGCATAGAGTTTATCAAGGGTTCTTTTAATGGAAATGTCTTGTCAATCCGTCTGCCTGTATCCACGATAACTTTGTAACGAATTCGAACTTATTTCATTTCTACATGCGGCTTTCGCTAACGTGTTTCTAAATTTTCAAGTTAAAATGAGTTCGCCGATGACCTTTGAAGGTCATAAGGTCACAGCGCCACGGTCAATGACGTGGAATTTTTTTTCGACCGTTACAGGCGTAATTTTGGCCGGGTATTTCAAAAATCGACATATGCAGTTTTGACGTACCACGACCGCGTGACCGCGTCGGTTCACCCCATTGTTGCATTTCGTTTGCAACGGTTTGTTTAACATGGAAAGCCCGTATCGCCGAAAATTGTTATGGTGGGATTTATACTATAGAATTGACTAGCTCAAATAATTCGACTGTACGTATGTAAATTTATCCACAATTGTAATCTTATCTCTCCTTCGCAGAATTGGGCATTCGCTCAACTCCTAGATTAGGGTAGTACATAGAGGATGTGATGAATTTGCAGTTATGTACATACATACATACGTACGCACAAATGTGACATATTATGATATGTCAAATGTTACAAATACTAAACCCATACCGGAATGTCTTAACTTTCCCAACATGCTTTATGCACGGTCCTTCTATGAATCACAGTAAGCGTGTTGTTTTCGAGTTTATTATAAACTGTTTATAATGTGGGTAACAAATCATTTGTTACATACTTTTTATATCGATGAATATTTAATTAATATAGAAAACTAACACCATTGCCAATTATCTAGGTAAATATGTATGCAAACAAATTAAATTTTAATCATTTTTCGGGCAATGCAAATCAAGTACAAGATCAACTCCGAAAAAATAATTAAATGAAATTTAATCAACAATTACGTATTTATGTATATGTATATGCAGTTTTTTGCAGTTTTTTTGACCAGTCACTATTGAAAGCATCACTTCGGCGGGTCATCGTCCCCGTCCAATCCTGAAACTGTTCGATTTGATGGAGCCGGATTATTATTACTGCTGCCCGATCCTTTCGACCCGCCCCAAATTGCGACTAAATAAGAAGAAAATTCAATAATCAATTTCAAAAAGTTGATGCACACTCTTTGTCAACAAGTTTATTAATTAGTAAAAGAAACAATTTATAAATCTCTTACATCCAATCACGATAAGGACCACGATGATCACAACCACGAGAAGGATCATCATCTAAAAAAATACGAAATTTACATAGCGATGAAGGGGCACGTGTTCATAAATATGTCAGCATGGAGTCAGAATGCCTACTGAAATTGATTATGCATGTAATCAATTTTAGCGGACATTTTGGCACCATGCCAATTACATTATTGATTTGGTGTCATTTTTGAGGGAAGGGGAACGTCCATATATTTCGTTATCAAAATTTCTCGATTTTACCTCCCACGAAACGTATACATTAATGGAGAGGGTATTTTGACATGGGAAAGATACGAAGACCTAACCCACCCACCCATTAAAATGATGACGTAATATATGGATATGATATGTACACCACCGAAAATTGAGCACACTCTTGATGCACTGGTCCTATGGACTAGTTTATGTATTTAATTATCCTACCTTCAAATTTTGCCACCAGAATTTCCTCTTTAAAGAGACGGCTTGTCTCTCAAATTGATGAGCTCCTTGTTCAAGAGCGTCTACATGTTTCGTAATTATTAGTTTACCTTCACTTAAACATGTAAATGTGTGGGAAATTTTTTTAAATCCCATAATTTATTGGATTTATTAAATCCAACAAATTATGTCTCATGCCTGCACGTAAATCCAATTCCGACAGTTTCTGATCCCTTTCCAACATCAGAGCGACATTGTTGCGCATCACGCCAACGACCTGAAATTTAAACATGGTACATAATAATTATCTTATTTGAAAATCCATTTACAAATTACAACTTCCGGTAAAAAATGTGACCATTGAATAAATTTTGTCTTCACTGAACACTAATTGGGGGTATTCATTTAGAGTTCTGACGTCTATTCGCATCGCGACATAATTTTAAAATAATTGGGAACTAAATGCTAGCCTCGTAAATGAAAATAAGTTCCCCAGTCAAAATTGTTTACAAACATGACAAATTTACTTTTTGCAACGTTTTTAATGACGAGTTGATGAGTAATTCGTAATGAATACCCCCATTGTTAATTGGTAAAAACACTATTTTACACTCTTATGCGCGATCATTTGTCGCAAGATTATTTCCGCTTTGTTACCTCATTGACTTGTGCCTGCATCTGGACGACTCTTTCCTGGTCGGCTCGTCCACTGGAAGACGGTCCGGCCCCGGTAGCATCCCGGGTAACGTGGGATGCCCTGAAAATTTCAATTTTCAACAAAATTTTTACACAGAATCCAATATTAACTCTTTAACTAAATGATTTTCATCCTCAATTAACAATTAACAAACCAGGAAAACTGATTTACTTGTTAAATATTGTTTAACCAACTTACATTTCGTTTGGAAATCCAAAATCCAAAAATTTCACGGAATTATTAGCAACGTCGCAGTAGGATAATGCTGGGCGTATGTACGATAAAGTTTACGGACGTCACGTGGGTGACGTATTTACCCAAGTATGCAAAGTATAATAGCTAGCTTGCTCACTAACAAACAGCACTGGACAAGGTTCCAATGAGTAATAAATATCAAGTTGGATAAGCAACGGCAGGATAAGTATGCGTATCAGATCCATATAACTAATGCTCGTCACTACGGTTATCACGGTTTATGTATACTTTATTGGATCTGTTATCTTCCTTTGTGAAAGCAAATACTTGTGACATTCACTAAATGAATGGGTGGATAACAAATAAGTTGGATGTGTATGTAAATGCACACGCTAATAAATAATCCTAAAAAGCAATTACATATATAAATATATACATTCTAATTCTAAATATTAAATAAACTGTACTAAGGAAATTCCAGAGTAACGAAAACCTGCTAAGAAGTCAAGTTTACTCTGGATTCAGTGCAATTTATTAATTTGTTAATTTATTAATTTATTAATTTGTAATATAAAATACATTTATCTTCCTAAAGTGAAGAATATTTTTAAGAGTGTAAATAATAAACAAGTTGGATAAATAAATATGCGGTACATTTTTCAAAAGCATATTTATTTACATACCTACTTGGCCCTGGCTGTTTGGCTTGGGGGTGAGAACCGGTGGCTTTCGGCACTCGGAAGGTCTATGGTTCGATCCCTCATATCTCGGCAGCTGGGGCAGCCCTCCCTGGGTGCCAGTTACACACATTGTAGCTGGACACTCAGTAGAGTGGACTGAGCATGCTGCCTTTCCGTGGCAGTATTCGCGTCCAAAGGGGCATACATTAAGATTGAATAGGCAGTGGTGGGTAGAGGATAGGCGGAGTGGGACTGGCCCCGTAAGTGCAGGGGTGAGTGGTGGTGCTTACGGCAAGCCGGCGTCTCTTCCTGTCTTACTATCCTTAAATGGTTTCTCGATCCCCATATCTCATCAATAGATATGGGGATTACACCTGAGCAACTAGATAGCCACTGTCATACGGTGTAAGTAAGAGGATATGCAATGGATCTGATGGATGATCTGAGCATTGGGCTCCTCCAACAAGAGGAGCCCTCCTCCCAAAATACATACATACCTACTTAACTTATTGCTATGCCAAAATTGTGCATAATTATGTTTGCAGATAAACTTATCTGTACCTTGTCAGAACTTGTATCTATGTATAAGTGAATTTCATTTTCTATAAAATATGAATAACTTCTGGGAAAATTTATAAATTTTGAAACCAGGATTCCACATCCACATTTCTTGCTTGAATAAAGTCCAAGGTTCTTTCAGCCGCTGTTCGCCAACGTTGCAGGACATTTACCATTTCCGGTTTTGCCAGTTGATACCCTAAATTATTGTAGGGGTTGATCGGATCCAAAATCAGGGGGGATTGGGCAAAAATATTTTCAGGAATTTTTGACACCGGATAATTTTCCGTAAAAATGATCCTCGCCGAGGAGAGTGTCTGCATTTGGCGGAGGAAACGGCTGAACCGTCCTTGTAGACCGCGATTCGTTTTCTTCCTGTTGGACCCCATGGCGACCAACTCGATAAGATAAGATCTCCCAGATAAGCGCACGTCGTCCCGTTCAAGTCCCAGGTCGACATGCTTATCCCAATACTTGGCGATGCGAATGACCCGGGAAATATTTAAGGGAACCCCTGTGTCCAGAATTTAAAAAAAAACAATAAAATATGTAAAATGTCTACGGAAGGGATGTCTACGGAATGTCTAGTAATGTCTACGGAACAGACGTAACGTACTTTTACAAAATGTATACAAGAAAGAATTTTACGCCAACAGTACAATTCCGTCATTGATTAAAAGAATTAATATAGAATATAAGGATAAAGGAACAATATTTGGGCTTAAACTTGAAACCATTTTAAATCTAATTGAGTGTAATGAAATAGTTAGTTAATTTTATATCTTTCGTAGTAATGGCTTAGAGAAAATGTAAACTGTCGAAACATGGCATCCTGCTTATTGTAATGGTTAAATGTGTGAACTAGAGTTACCTTCTATAGTTTTACTCATCATTGCTGTATCGTTTGTTCATATAAAACAGTATAATAAAACTTAATAATAATAATAATAATGTAAAAAATTGTGAAAACAAACTCAGCACTCGAGGAATTTGGGAATAAAAAATGATAGAAATTATTATGTACCACAGGGCGGATATGTAAATATTTACCAATAATCGCAGAAATATGTATGTATTTATGTAATGTTGAAGAAAAAACCCTAAAATATTTAAAAACAAACCACACGAAAATATCAATATTCGTAAAATTTTAATTTTTGAGGTTGGATTTTTGGATTTTTCATCGTTCAAATTTATTTATGTATTTAAAAAAATACGTATGGATGGGTATACATGTACGTTTGTAAATTTATATGTATTTTTCAAATACGTACACACATAAACTTGGACGATAAAATTGCTTTTAAATATTTTAGTATTTTTCTTCAATATTTCTTACATAAATACATACATACATATGTATCTCTACGATATCTATTTCTACCCACTGAAAATCACGCACGAAATTAATGTATTACTACGTAATTTACGAATCTAGTAATTAATTATATACAAATAAATAATTTTCTATGTACGTACCCTTAACAAACGAAACTGTCGCCTCGGCCAAACTCGTGGAAAAATTGCTTCTTTCCCTCTGGTTTTTGCAACGCGTCTTCATCCGCTTTGAACCCTCTTTCGACTGAGTGGCCTCTCTTTCTTGGGCAGTCAAAAGGTGGTCGCCCTGCACGAAATTTGCCGCCGGTAGGACGTCCAATTTAAATTTAAAAGGGCCAACTTCGACTATGACCTCGACCGAATGTTGGGTGAAATCAGTCCGCAAGATTGTCCATGCTGTCGTCCGACCCGCATTTTTCACGGTTCGGAGAAAAGCCTGAATGAGTTCCTTGGAGAATGGGGGCTCGTGTCCATTAACGAAGCAGACCACGTCAAAGTCTGGACTGAATTCGTCCCCAAGAGCGGTCCCCTTCCCCATGCTGCCCGCTTTACGGGCGCGGTCCAAACTGATCTCATCCGATTTTCGGATACTTTCAAGAATGTCGTGGATAACTAGTCCACCCGCGGTCAGGTAGGCGCTACTGGGTCGCTGCGTGTCGGCAAGTTTGGTAAGCTTATTGTTTTTTTGTCGCATCAAATCCCCCCGCATTTTGGATGGAATTTATGTATGTGTCTAGGTCACCTGGAGGAAATGAGGCGTAAATACTGGTTGTGTACACACGGTAAATAAAAGTTTTAGGAAATTTACCAAAGCCTGAGTAAAAAAGAGGATGAGACAAAAATTGGGTAAAATTTATGTATCCAACCGTTGGAAAAATTGTTATCCTCCTTTTGGCTAAACTTTAGTTAATTTTTCCACAAGTTTTATTAAGATTTTTAACTCTGGATTGATTGGAGCAATGTCTTTATAGAGATATTTATTAATTAGTCCTTTCCGTATTTAAACGGGTGTGAAATTTATTGATATAATTTTAAATTTATCCAGTAATGTATATATATTTATTTAACAGTGCTCTTCTTTGTCTGACTGTCCAGGTTGATAAAATTGAGCGTGAGTCACATCTTACTACATATATGTGTAAATGCAATGTACATATTTAAATATGCAAGTTTACATATACAGAAACGGACAATAGATACGTAGTTTCATATGCATGTATACACATATGCAAATGTACGTACATACCTACATAACATGTACATTTGTCGTCTTCTGTATGTATCATAAAATTCCAGCAAAACGTTTGACCAAGAATTATTTATGTACATATTTAAAGCGTTGAATTAAACATGTACATATGTACATATTAGGATACATTTTCACCATTCGGGGGCAGGAGATCCCTTACATAATCGGAATATGTATAATGAGTTAAAATATTACGTGACACGCGGTATGTATGTATGCATGCATCACAGGGTGATTATGTACATATTTAAGTGACAAGCAATCCGTTTCCGTTATCTTTCGGGCCAGTCCTAATAACCAATGGACTCGGACATTACGCTGGGACAGAGGGCAATGTTCTAACGATTATTCAATCCCCCCCATCCCTCCTATACAATATCCTGCAATGTTAATGTCCCCAGTGTTTTCCGCGACCACATATAGGTATACATTCGTTAGAATTATGTAAATATGTGTGCACGACTAATCCTAAGTTGAATATGAACATGAAGAGAGGTTGATCTCCCTTCAGCAGATTATGAAGTAATGATGATAGAGCTTACAACATGCAGATACATACACTCTTAGAAATCCAGTAGTAAAATAATACCAGGCGGTATTTATATATGACTCTATCACCGATGTATTGATAAATAAACCGTCGTAACGTTAGAAGTAGCCCACCTTGTCATAATGATTTAGACAGTTTAACTTGTGATGAATATATTACTTATTACTAGCTACGTGACAAATATCGCAGACGAATTTGCGTCACATCCTTGTTTCTGACCAGACTGATTATTTATAAGATTCATACAGTTATCGGTTGAAGATGCATTTACTAAGTAAATCACATAAATTTGCTAAATTGTCTTTTTTCCCAAGCAGAACACAGACCGGTTTATGTATGCAATATATGTAAGTATGTACATATTTACAACTGAAGGTAGACAATTAAATACGTCAGTCTCTCTTACTTTGTAAGAACTAAGGGAGGATTCCTATTTCTTGGTAATTTATTTGCATATCTACATAATCTGGTCAAATGCAGGAAAGTATTATGAACCTTTGTCAAAACATGTATGTAAATGGTGCACTAGATTTTTGCCCCAGTATGGGTGCAGGTCTTGTCTGAATATAAAACCAGTTGAACTTTTCTTCACAAATACTGACTTGGAGTTTGCAGTAGTAACAAAAATTCATCGTCAATATTAAAAATAATAAAGTTTCTTTCGAATTACAAAGAAATACTAGAGTAAAAAGGAGGAAAAAAGCTTAATCGTCAATATTTTGAACGCAAACTGCTATACATTATCAAGACATTTTAAAGAAAATTTGTCCCTAACTTGCAAATCTATAACAATAAAATCTTGGACAAAAAGCATTTAAGGTGAGCATCAATTAAATTATAAACATGGTTAATAAATAAATCGATTTTTGTCCCAAAATAGTTTGATTATACGTACAGGGTGGTTTAAATGTTAGGTTACAATGGAAAATTTTTCAATGGGAAAAATTCGTAAATTTCCATTAGTTACAGATTTGGGACTGACATTTTTATTAATTTTTATCAAAAATTATGCAACGCTGATGACAAAATTCTTAAAATATTCAATTTCAGAGACAAAATTTCGGTAACTAATGGAGATTTGCGAATTTTTCCCATTGAAAAATTTTCCATTGTAACCTGACACATTTAAACCACCCTGTAAATTTATAATTACTTATCATTATTTATACATTTAGACTGCACATTTTCTGCTAAAGTATTTGGATCGATAAATACTAATTTATTTTCTTTCGTATTTATTAGAATGTTATACCCACTACTTGTCACCTTCTACACAATAATATTTACATTATTGCGACGGATATTTTCACTCCTTCCAAACCAAAAACTTCCCATTTTTCAAAATCGGAAGAAATCTCATCATTCCTCAACCCTAGCCGAACCCCAGAAATCATCCCCCGAATTGGTTAGCCGGTTTACCAACACCGCCCAAGTATTCGTACCCTTGCTCCTACCCGGCCTTATCTCGTCATCCGACCGACTTCATTTATACTCCCTGTATAAACAAGCCACTTCCGGAAACTGTCCAATTTCCCTGGGAAATTTTCGTGGTCCAAAATTGAGCTGGCTCTCGCTCCGAGGAATGCCCACCACCCGAGCGATGGAAAAATATGCAAATTTTTACGAAACCCTGAGACTCAAAGAGGTCGAACATCTCACCCAGCAAAATTACGCGGGCGCCCTTACCCGGGAATTTAAAACGCTACACAACTTTGAACCCGTCCTACATCCCGGGCACATCCTCATCCCGCTAAACCAACTGCCACCTCGTACCTTGAACGAGTACAATTCCGCCGTTAAGACGAAATACATGGCGGCCGGGCGGGGTAAGGTGGCCTACGAGGAGGGGGCAATGCACGACCCGAGGCAGATCAGTGACCCGCATTTTCTCGCAATTTGGACGGAAACGCACTTCTCAAAATTGGTGACACACCTGGCCCCGGGTAGAGTAGAGTTGGCCCCGTACCGGGATTTATTCGGGGTGGAGGGAAATGCAGAGGATTATTTTATCGTGGATCTAACAGGAGTGCAAGCCATCCCGCTGAGGAAATCGGATAACGCGGTTCTCTCTCCGTGCGTCGTACTTTTAAAACTCTCCCCTCCTTCCCAACAATTGGTGGCGATCGCAATTGAAAATTTATTTGAGACAAGATCAAACTCTAAAGATTTAAATATGCCGCCCTTTCCCGCAGTTTTGGGGAACCTTCGCCTCGTCGCTCCCACAGATGGCGTTGCGTGGGAACACTGCAAGTTACACGGGGCCCTTAATGCCAACTATATTTCTGGGATGGGCCTTCACACGGTGCTACATGCTGCACTGGCGGGCCCCATTTCACTCACGTTTGAATCCATGGCGGGAAACAAAAGATCCCGCCCTAATTCCGTAATTAGAAGGATATTTGAGGTCCATTCCTACGTCCATTGTGGCGTGGATTCTAACGCGTTCGATTTTAAGGAGAGCGTCCTCTTCGCGGAAGGTTCGCCGTACTATCCCTGGCCAGTTGACACCGCAAACGGCGGGATTTACAATGTGGCCCGGCTAATTTGCGATGGTTGGGGGCAACCTGAGACGAAACACCCGATCTATGACGGCTACAATAATTCAAGGAAGGAGAACATCATTACTTACACGGAACACGAGGATGTTCTCCCATTTCGAAAATTTGTGAATAGTTTCGCCCCGCCGATTAAGGAATTTGTCATGAAAGTGGTCTCCCTTGTGGGGCGGGATGAGACTGAAATGTCCTACATGGCAGAATTCCTGACTGCCTTGAGGGACAAACTGCCCTCGGAAAGCTGGGTTAGGACTGAGCTAAAAGATTGTTTCGATCTAAATGATAATTTTTTCGAGGGGGAAACGCTCATCGCGAAACTTTTGAATTTTTTCATCTTTAATGCCGTTCTTCATTCCGTGGAGCATTGTCTCCTGGAGAGTAAACTAATGAAAGATTTTCATGGCATTATCAGGATCGGGGTGGATTTTGAAAATACCAAGACCCGTCGCGAAGATATTTCTGAATGTATGAGGAAAATCAATAGTGTGGCTGACAGGTCAAAAATGTACCTAATGAACAACATGGTCTCATATCCGCATCTGAGTAGGAATTTTGCCGATTTTTTTGCAAAAGAGGGAGGATATTTTGGAAGTGAGGTGTTTTCCAGTAGTAATTTCCCTTTGGATAGGTTAAAAGTATTGAAATCTTATGAAGAAGAGTTTGCTTCCGGGTTGGAACGGATTTTTGAAGGGAAGATTAACAGTGGGGTTTGTGCGAATATTACCCTGTCCGACTTGGGGGTTAGTGTGCAAAGTTAGAAATAAATAATTTACATTGTAAATATGTACGTGCTAAAACTTGAAAATTATATTAATTGTATAGATATATACACTCTGAATAATTTGGAGACAAATCGTCACCCGACGGAGGGACTATTGTGCTCTATTTTTTGGAAATGATTTGGGAGACGTTTTATCACCAGGGGGGATAAGTCAAAAACTCACGCACACGTGACGTCGTCATTTAAAGACTTCAATACTGTCATGTAAAAAAAGTCTTATTGTCAGATTAAAATGTTGATTTTTTTTAATTGCGACGTCACGTGTGTTTGATACGAGTTTTTGGCTTATCTCCCCCTGGTGATAAAACGTCTTAAACTCGTTACCGAATAATAGAGCACAATAGTACCAAAAATTCGTAACGCGGGTGACGATTCGCCTTAAAATTATTTACAGTGCAGGGTTTTCCTTAAGTTTGTCAATACAATGCATGTTTTTAATTTTGTAGTATTTTTTATTGGTAACAAAAATTTATTGAGGAGAAAGATGCGTAGCTTGTAATAAATTTTCGTTACCACCCAAAAAAATTAAAAACAGACATTGTACAAACTTATGGAAAACCATGTATTATGTAATTAGCGGGTTAACTTTGACACATTTCTAAAGAAACATGTTGCAGACTAATGCATTTCAAATTTATTTAAATACTTGATTCAAATGTTATAATCTTTTTAATAAAATTGATTTAACTCAGAATCTACACTCCTAGTACATTTTTGATATCTAATTGATAATGTATGTATAAATTGATATCAATTTGCAAAAACATATATGTATATTCACTTATTGAGTAACAATAATGAAAACCGGAATCACTTCACACAAAGCAAAATTTGATTTGGATAAGATTCTCAGCGTTTGTAGAGCTGATTTTTACGAGTTCAACGGCACCAATAATTTGTAATTACTCCGCCCCCTCGCTGAGTGGGAGGAGCCCAAAGTAGGAAAAATTCGTTACGTCTGCGATTTTTAGCGCAAAGGCGGGTAAATATTTTTGAAAACGGTTTTCACCAAAAGTTTCCTAATTTTGTTCCCTACAACCGTTTTTGACCGTTTTTTGAAATTCGCAAAACGAATGTCATGATTTCGTGCATCCAGAACTTAACACAGCGGTAGATTGGGAGCTAACACAGCAATAGATAGGCTAGAACTTAAAAATATTCTTCTGTGTCTGGAACATCAGGAAGTGGTCATACACCAGACAAAGTATATATATTCCGAATCCTCCCGTCGAGATCTTTCCAATGATACCCCATTTATGGGGTAATGTGAGATTTGACCTATTTTACCTTTAAGGTCCAAATCATAAAAGTTCGTTAAAGAATTTCAGAAAACGGTCAAAAACGGTTGTAGGGAACAAAATTAGGAAACTTTTGGTGAAAACCGTTTTCAAAAATATTGACCCGCCTTTGCGCTAAAAATCGCAGACGGAGCGAATTTTTCCAACTTTGGGTTCCTCCCACTCAGCGAGGGGGCGGAGTAATTCCAAATTATTGGTGCCGTTGAACTCGTAAAAATCAGCTCTACAAACGCTGAGAATCTTATCCAAATCAAATTTTGCTTTGTGTGAAGTGATTCCGGTTTTCATTATTGTTACTCTATTATGATCACCAGAGGGCGAATATGTATGTATTTCTAACTTTTTCATATTACATCAAATCCGACTAAAACTTCGTATACTGATATCGAAGCGTGATCTCAAAAATTCAAACATAGTTTTGCATATTTTACATATCTTAGGTTTTTCGTACATACACACATTTTCCTACATACATATTCGAGCCTTTATATAAATACACATATTTTAATACATATTTTCAGGTTTCTTATGTAAAAATATTTTTCTTTATTCAGAAGTTAAAGTTTTGTCGAAATTAAATTTTCATGATAATGGTGTTCAATTCATGTAAATGACTAGCAAATCCAATTTGCCACATATTTTAAGCCAAAAAATTACCCTTGAAAATCTCTAAATATTACTCATGTCGCATTATGGGTCATTAAGCGAAGATTAAAATGAAGTATTTAACAATTAGATGATAGGCGTGTTAAAAATTTGAAAGGTCTGGAAAATTAAATATAAATACAGTAGAAAATTGCAATTGAAAAATATTTTTTATGTGCATATTTTCGAGTTTTTAAGCACATATTACATAAATATTTTGAGGAATTTAAGCACATACATACATATCCGTCCTATCACCAATTTTAATTTAGAAAGCCCAACAATTTATTAAATCCAGCTGGAATATTCATATCCGGTCTAATATCTCGTTCAACGAGGCGACTAACGAAGCCGGAATTATTATTCTCCATCTTCCTTCTCTTGGTGAAGTAGACATATAATAATGAATGGGATATGCAGTTAAATAATAACTCGGTATTAAAGTTCTACACCAAGCTTTGAACAGCGGACGAATCTAAGTACAATCTTAGCAAAATGGTATTGAATCATCACCGAGTGTAAAAATGACTTCATCGCCTCTGTGATAACGGGGATCACCATATAATGAACAATTTTCACCGTTGTGGTGATGAAAACTCATTACTCGGAATCAGTCCACATATTACCAACCCGGGGGAGAAGTTATCACCAAATCAATACCATCACGAAGTATATACATACATGACTTAACCTCAGTTTTAACAGGGTACATAAATACATATGTCTGCTATCAAACATGGATTTCATTCCAATAAAGCGTTAAGTTTTTGGTGGTGGATGGATAAGAAGTAATGTAATGTTTAAATTGCGTGGTGTCTCTTACCAAAAAATCCTCCCACATAAGAGATTCAAGTAGCAGACACACTACTACACAAACCCTTTGCACCTTTGTTTCAATACAGGCATGGTTTAGCGAGGAGTTGATCCAGTCAGCAAAAGATATTTAACATTTTGCCACAGTCTAAGAAACTTTGGTTGGAGAGAATCTACAAGAGCAGGATACGAATTAAATCTTCAACCCGACCAACTCCATATATGGAAATACATGATTATGTATACGTAATACGTATTTGTTAAGATGGGATTTAATTTTTTTTATTTATAAGTAGGTACTCTAATACATACATACGCTAAATAAATACACACGTACGCTTGTCACACTCTTAAAAATAATGTTACGCCTTTGAAAATTATATGAACTCTCAATTCTAAATTATTTTATCCACATATACGACATTCAAAGTATGTAAGCTTTAATTGTTGATATTTTAACAAAGCACGAATTTATTACAATTTATCTAATTAAATGGCCAACTGCATATCAGTTTTTTGTCTAAATACTGACGCCACAAAGATAAGGAATATAATATATGTATGTACTTGACAAAGAGTATACATGGTCTACTCTGGAGTTGGATATATGGTTGAATTTACTTACAGTTTTGTAATGTGGAATCGTCTTCTCTTTAAAAGGGTAACATTATTTTTAAGAGTGTAAAAGTGTGAATCTTTCCAACTTTATCAAAGGATTGATTTTCTGGAAATTTTCACCCTTACCCCCCAGGTCTGACCTGAACGTCCCATGTCATAATTAACATGACAAGGATAGGATGCCTTGACTCCTACCCCCATGCAAATCGATCACATACTTTCTGCACAGCCCCAAACTATGCACATATTCATGCCGGTTTATTATTACGAGTGTCAATTCTCATAACCGGTGCACATTCGCAGGCGTCTCCTATCAGCTTCATTGCACGTAAAAGTTAAAAAAAAGTGTAAAGAATTTTCTTAAAATGTATGTACATAATTATAAAGTAAAAAAAATCCTGAAAACCACGTGTTAAATGGTGAGTTAAAAATCGTAAAGGTTCTGTTCTTCTGTTACTTCTAAAATGAGGATTATTAATTCACAATTCTAATTTGTTAGTAACCCTATGGCTTTGCCTGTACAATTTAATCATTGAGATTTACTCCAATCGAAAAATGTTACATTCTGGATTACTCATGCTATTTATAAAGACAAAGTTTGGTCAATCCAAATTTGCAGTTGCAGTTCGTAATTTTCAGTAAGAAAATTAATCACTAATCAGACAGGAGTTTGAATTTACATATTACGGTAAGTAAAGATTTAGTGTATGTATGTGTTCACAATTCTCTGCGTATCCTTCGTATCGTAAAATATACAGTTTACGTAGAACCAAGAGAGGGTTAAGTTTCGAAAAAATTGTACCTTATAAACGCGAATATTTTCCGGCAAAATCTTACCACGCGTGAAAATCTCGTAACCGTCGTAACTTACACAAAAATACTAATGATATGAAGGAATCAAGAATACATAACTTAATTAATTTCGTGTGACTTTCATCACAAAGAATTTATAAATTATAATCCTGTAATTCAGGGCGTCACGATGCCATCCGAGATTGACGAGGTTGTCAGAAAATTGACTACTCTTAACCTTCCCGATGTGGAGCATACTCAAGTGGCGATGAGAGCTTTGATGAATCCATTGGTTAGAAACTTAATTAATGTCTTTCCAATTTATTAACATGGTTTTACATTGTATGCGTAGTACTCACGATGGAACTAATTTTCACGTAAAAAATTACTTTTTGCTTAATCCGCCCGAGTGGTACTCACGGTCAGCTCGTCGAGAAAAACTTGAAAGGAATTTTTTACGCGAGCAGTTTCTCCTCAATTTAAGGTGACGTTTTTAGATTAAATGTGACTCGTGCCATTCGGAATTCAAAATGAGAGGGAGGCGCTAGTTAGTTAACTTAAAATAGGAAACACGGAGGCCTGATTTTTAACGTGAAAATTGAGCGTATGTACAATAGTAACGTGCGGGGGAAGGTGATTTTTTCTGCCCGTTTACAAATTTCGCTCAAGTGAGAGATTTAACAGATTTAACAATTTGCAATTTCCGGTGAATACATACTTGTCGCGAATAGTAGGTTTCAATGAATATTTTTATTCATATATTTGTTACAAGTATAAATTGGCAAGATAACCGTATTTCAGATTTTGGCCAAAGTATTCTGCTCTTTGGATGTCAAAACGCTAAAGTCCGCGCGGCTCGTGTGCACCGTTTGGGGTGACGTGGGCACCACATTTCTCGGGCGGCAGGGCCGCCTAACTTTCTTCTCATCGCCAAAGTACTTCCTCAATTACCGCAGCTACACCAATCTTAACGAGTTGACCTCATTCAACCACAACTTGGCCAAAAACGTGACAATGATTATGAAGTGTGACTGCCCTGTGATCTGTCAATGTCCCCTTAATCAAGTCGAATTATGCTGCCATCTGCCTCCCAAGTTTGTCATACTCCTCCCACAAATTTTCGATAAGTTGGAAACCCTCACGCTCTATGTGGACAGGACGTACCAACCCGGCTGGCATGAATTGTGGAGGACTCATCAGTTCCCAAACTTGACCCAGATTTCCATCATGGTTCCAAATATTGATCCCTATCATACCCTGGAGGACGTTGCACAACTGGACGTGCCTCAATTTCTGTCCCTTCCGAGTCTTAAGGTGGATAACACCGTCATAGATTTTTAATCTCAATCTACCCCTGTTCAATGCAAATTTCTAAAATGGTATCAATTTCACGAGTTTTGAGATAGATACAACTTTTGAAGGAAATTATTATTACATGCAAAAAACGACTAGCGAATTCATTTTTGAGGAACTTCATCGTGCCAAATTAGTAATTTATGTTTTCAAATCGATTTTTGTAGTGCCAAAAATTTACTTCAAAAATTTGCATTTTTCTCAAATCTCTTGAACTTGATGCCATTTGTGAGACATTTATGTAATAGGGGTAGAGTGAGATTTAAAATCCCTGCAACATCAAATCATCCTTCTACGAAACCTTAAGGTTCTCTCTGTGAGGATATCAGCCGGCTATAAAAACTACTTTACACATGCCTTCTTATCCCCCATTTCCCAAGGGTTGCTCAACTGTGCCCCCAACTTGGAAAAATTAGAGTTGAAGGCGAATTTTTTCCCGGATTTGACACCCTGTCGCAAACTTGGCGAGCTAAAGTTCGACTATCAACAATGTGAAGTTTCTCGTCCCTTCGATATCTCCGGGATCACCAAGATGTTAGAAAGTTGTCGTGATTCTTTGAAAAAGTTGTGCCTGGATTTTCATGGGGCTCATTATGATGAAGAGATTATGGTAAAAAGCCCTGAATTGTGTTTATTAGTATTTATTAGGGGTGAAACCCTTTTATACGATTGATATATCGGTTTGTCCGCGCCATGAACCCAAGAAAAGCTTAACATATTGATTTGCAACTTGGTCAATAGCGCAATTTCCATGGGGTGCAAGAAATCCACTACTTGTTTAAGTTTCTAATTGGTATTTTTATTTGTTTTAAGTTCCCCAATTTTGACCTCCCCAACCTCACCTACCTGAAAGTACATCCCCAATCGTATGAAATTGAGGAATCGCTCAACATCACCAACCTTCCAAAACTGACCCATTTCTCGCTATTTTCTGGCGCAAACATTTCCGTAATGATTCGAAAGTACCATTTTTGCCACGCCGGAATAACGTCGCTCAACTTGCAGTGCTCATATTATCCCGAAGTTGACAACCATTACGAACAAGACGAGGCCAAGTTAATTAACCTGTTCCCTGCCGTGGAAGAATTAAAGTTGAACCTGGCCATAGTAGTGGACAAAGATTACTTCTACTACGACTCTGGCTTCGTTGCGCACGATGCAGATTTTTTGCTTTTGACGGAAACCTTGCGATCCTTGGGTGGATGGGGGCTGGCATGCAGAGCAGATGTGGAAATTGAGCTTAAATGGTTAAGGGAGCGTTACTCATATAAAGAGTTGGACTCTGTCGGGGCTGCCATTTTAGAAGGACTGAGGACATGGAAAGGTTGCAAGTTTACTGTTTCACCCAATTTTTTACTCCATTAAGAAATTAGACGGTTTCCATCAACTATCGCCGGTAAAAAACAAAATAATTTTTTTCCGGTGTTTTAGTTCAAAAATCTATAACGCGGAAATTTTAAAAACTGACCAAATCGAATAGTTCAGACCCACTGAACAGATTCTTAAATTAAAACACCGGAAAATAAAATAAGTTGCTTTTACTGGCGAGAGCTGATGGAAATTGTCTTTACCCGCTTACAACGCGTATGTCAGACATGTTTCTCGCGGATTTTCTTAAAGCCAGCACAAAAAAATCAAGTGCAAAAAATAATTGGGATTATTTTTTGACAGTTAAGAACGCGTCAAGTTGGCAAAGACGAACATTTTCATCATGATAATCTACGAAAGGTGAAGTGCAAATAGTTTCGCATGGTGAAAGTGCAAGTTTGTGCCTATTTAAAACCTTAACTCCCTCAATTCTACAGAAATGCTCAAATGTCAAGTGGGTGACTGTTGGTTGTGTATATTTAGTTATTTGATTTTTTCGTCACATGATAAACTATGTGGTTTATCAAGATCCGTGAGAAACACGTCTAACATGTGCATTACCTGAAAAATGGAAAGGAATGATTACTGACCGGAGTACATACTTATATGTATTACAGGGTCACAGATCCTATTTGCACAGTGAGAAAAACTGACCAAACTCATGGGCGGATAAGGTTTTTTGTACTTTCGCAATTTTACTCTCAAAACGTAGTTCTTTGGGGTGAATTTGACGTTTGGTTGACAAAAATCGGTCAACAAATGCCAAAGAAATCGACATCCGAAGTCGACCATCTCCTTCCGCATTTTTCCGAAGGAAAATTGTCACATGGGAAAATTGTGGAGAAGTAGAACATATCCGGATGCAATTAGTGTTTCTCACGGGTTAACCCGAACCATTACTATTAACATTCGGGTTTCGGGTTCGGGTTTCGGGTCCCATGTTAATAGTAATGGTTCGGGTTAACCCGTTAGAAACACTAGATGCAATGTAACTCGTTCTTCAACATATCGTGAACTTAGTTCCGCTTTAATTAGACCAATATCTAAATTAGAGGGACTGGCATCCCCAATAAAGATGCAGCCCCCAAGAAGGTTTTCGCGTACGGTTTTTCGAAAAATCGACGCCCTGACAAGGTGAGAAAATCTTTTCACCCAAACTCAAATTGGAAAAGTTGTTAAAATATGTCAGCTGCATGTGAGTAGCGTCATCAAAATCAAAGTTCAAAAACAGGTCAGAAAAAGGCCAAAGTTCACGCGAAAACAAACTTTACAACGAAAATCTCTGGGAAAACGATCCAGTATGCCGAGTAAAAACAAAAGCTAGGGATTTCAATTGTTCCTAACTCTCAGATACCTGTGACAAGTCCTGATGCCACTCCTTTAGGTTTTTAATGGGTTTAGACTATTAAAACCATAGCTTCTTCTCAGACGAGCTCCAGTTTTTTTTTGGTGTTTCGGAAAAACCTTCAGGTTGAGTAGAAGAAGATTGATCTCCAAAATATAGGAAAACTAATGAATTCGTGCAAACGGCGATATAGGCTGGCTAGCCAAAGGTCTGAGGAACGTATTGAATGATCGAAACAAATTCATTGACGCCGAGTGAAGGTTTGAGGTCAATTTTAAAACCTGTGCAAATACGATCTGTGATCCTCAGTACTTCTCCGGAACGGTATTAACCGATCTTGTACAAATGGTAATGTTGTTGCACTGAAAACCCTACCCCTCACTGCCCCTCAGTAACAAACCAACACCCATCCGGTAGAAAGTTACTACCAAATCAATACCAGTAAGGAGTCGATATGTGATCTTGCCACTTTTTAACGGTGTATTATGTATCTGTAATTTATAGGCCTGTCCAATACGACTTTCAAATTTGTTTACAACGGCGTACGCGGATCGTTTAAACTCTTGGATGGGATACGTGCTGGTCTCCTGGCGTGTAGATCAATTAGTAGCGTCACTTTGGTGGGATTTCAGGTATTCTTTTTTATATACAATTAATTAATAAATAGATGCATCCTTTATTATTTATTTATTTACGTATGTAGATGAGTGAGCAGGATTCGATCGAGTTTGGTGAATTTATTGAAGAATATAATTTGCCAGTGAGAATTCCACAACCTGATTTTGAGTTTAGCGACGGGATTCTACCAGATTCGGGTTCGAATTCGGTTTCATCTAGCAGAAAACTATCTGATTCGGATACAGTTGCTTCCAGCCTAATGCAATCAGAATCGGATCACATTTTCCCCACCCGAATGTTATGGGGTTCGGATTCGGACGATTCGAATCCAGATTAAAAAGTGAATAATAAGACACTACTATACACACGTCTCAATAATTTTTTAACAAACAATGCAAATTAGTTATAATCTTTATTAAAATTTTCTCGTTATCAGGTTAACGTTTCTCTGAAGTTTTTGTTTTTGGCTTATTTGGTTAGCATAAAATTGAGACTGCGTTTGTTTTTCAAGAGGATAACATTATGTATTTTTAAGAGTGTAAGGTTGGAAGTAAGTAAATAAATACTTTAATAAATTGTTTTGCACTTTGGACCTCTCAAAATCTAAGGGCTGGATTTTCTTCATCTTCAATTCTTGAAACTGGTAAATATGAAGGCTGATTATCACTGCTGCCCCATCATTTCAAATGCCCTCCCCAAATTGCGACTATTTAAAGAAGTGGAGAAATACGTAATTTGAAAATATAATTGTCAACAAACTAGTAGAAAAACAATTAATAAATGTCTCACATCCAATCACGATCAGAACCACAATTATTACAATCACGAGTAGGATCATCATCTAAAATTAACAACTTAAAAATGCTTCAAATGCCACCATTTCTAGGGTGGAATCATTACTAATTACAAATATGACGGCCGGTAGCCCACACGCAAATTATTCACGCACTTTATACACGACCCCACAAAGTAAATTATGTATGTATCTGATATCCTACCTTCAAATTCTGCCACCAGAACTTCCTCTTTAAAGAGTCGGCTGTTCTCCCAAATCCATTAGCTCCTTGCTTAAGGGCGTCTGTAAATAGCAGGGAAATTACTTATTTTATTTTAATATCGGGAGTTTTTTACAGTTGCATAATCTATTTACGGCCCCTCGTACATACTTGCACGCGAATCCAGCTCCGACAGCTTCTGATCCCTATCCAGCATCAGATCAACATTATTCCGCATTATGTCCACGACCTTTCCATAATTTAACCAAGGTCTTTACACCAGTATTTACATAAATATTTATAATTCCATTTCCAACTTCCGGTTAACAAATATATTATTGCATTTTCCCATTATTAACAACACATTAATGGTTTTCATTACGAGTCACATATTCACATTACAACAAAATTTCGACAAAACAAACTTGCAAACAAAATACTAGCCTTGGAGATGAGCAGGGAATGAATGTCACAGCCAATTTTTTTGCGAAGTTGCCACCTCTGTTTTTATTAATATTTCTAACTGTACGAACTCATAATGAATACCCCTATTGTTGATCCAGGAGACTTTTAATACGATCTGCGTGACCACTTATCGCAGGTTAATTTCCGTCTTCTTACCTCATCAACTTGTGCCTGCATCTGAACAACTTTTTCCTGGTCGGCTCGTCCACTGGAAGACGGTCCGGCCCCGGTCCCCCCATATCGTGTTTCCCTAAAAAATCCTGGATCTCATGGCGACCAGTTCGATCAGATAAGATCTTCCAGATAAGCGCAATTCGTCCGCTAAAAGTTGGCAATGCGAATGATCCGAGTAATATTCAAGGGAACATCTGCGTCCATAATCAAAACAAAAAATATGTAACAATTGAGAAAGAGGAATTTGGTAACAAACCTGGTACTAATTTATTACCAGAGCGCAGTTACGTATTCAAGAATAATCGCATAAATATATTTGTATGTACTTAATATTTAAGAAAAACGTCAAAACATTTACAAAAAGCACGAAAATAAGACTTTTAGCTGAATTTCTACATATTTTTGAAATTCAAAAATAGAAATTTAAAATTTGAATTTATATAATGCCCTAGATTTTTAAGATCCATAGTTAAGCGTTTTTGAGGAAATATAAATGTAAATGATTTACAGTAAATGATTTAAGTTTTTCAAATCAGCGGACATATTTATATGTATTTACGTCTGAAAACCTGGAAATGTATACACACATTACTGAGGGTCAGGCAAGATTATAGAACGTGTCGAAAACTATTAATTTTTGGGCGAAATATTCGTTGCTGGATATTTTGAATGATTTCATCCTTTTCTCATGAGGAATGAAGTTATCATTTCCAAAAAGCCGGGCTTTTAAAGCCGACAGCAGATTTTCTTTGAACCACTGTTCATCTAAAAGTTTGCAAAATGCGTAAAAAATATTTTATGTCGATTTGAAAAAAGTGTCGATCTGAAGTTTAACATAAGAATTAAAGCACTGAAGGCGCATAACCGAACGTAAATAGTTTATCTTTATGCATAATAATTTAAATTGCTAATATTTAAAAAAAGAATGGCTGCGTACTGGCCGGTAATCCGAGCGCTGTCAGAAAAAAAGTTTCGTGTACACCACATATCTTCTGAGTCTCGCTGAAGTTGTGCATATCTTGATGATTAATTCAGTTCAGTGTACGCCCAGGGACCTGACACTTCGTGGCTAGTTGATTTTGTACTGATAAAAAATTCTTGCCTTGTCCACATCAATTTTTCTCACGAGCGTTGGGTTTCTTACAGTTCGGGGGGAATGCGTTCGACGAGTGTGGCACCATCAAATTTTTTGCCTTGTTCCTTTTTTCAACTGAATCCTTTATTTTAGACATTGGGCTATTAGAAATGCTAATTGTTTCATGCTGGAGTTGGTTTAGTATTTTTTTGTACGTCATTATTGCTTAGCAAACTGTTTTAGCAGCATGGAGCTCTTTAGGGTGTAATTTTGGACCCGCTTTCAAAATTTCGAAATTGAACTTTTGGGTCATGGCGCAGCTTGAACCAACCTTCCAGAAAAGTTTAGAATATTTGGAATTAGCGACATTGTTTAGCGTATACGGGCAAATAGCGACAGGTTCTATAATCTCGCCTGACCCTCAGTATATGTACGTGCATATCAAATATTTTCATACTTTTCGAAATTAACAAAAATTACGGAACGCATGCACTAAAAGAAAAAAGTTCAAAATAATTACATACATATCTACCCTCTAATGATCATGGTTAGAAATTATAACATGACTGCAAAATTAATTAATCTGGTAATTAATTACATATGTACTTTGAAAACAATTTTTCCATGTACAAATGAAACAGTCGCCTCTGTCAAACTCATGGAGAAATTGCATATTTCCCTTTGATTTTTGCAACGCTTCTTCATCCGCTTGGAAACCGCTTTAGATTTAATTTTCATTCTTTCCATTGCATTCGAATGCATTCAAAAGGTGGTCACCCTGCACGAAATTAGCTGCCGGTAGGATGTCCAGCTTGAACTTAAAGTGTCAACTTTTGTTTTCGAACTCTTTCGCTGGGTTTTTTTTACTAACGAAAAAGTACTGCCAGCATCCTAAGCTTCACTTGTTAAATCAATTAATGTTTCCTATTTTTAAACAATGGTTTTCAGTTGGGATTTTGTTTCCCTATGCAAATCTAGGCATGGTGTAGAACAATGCTTACTTAATTTTTTATGCTTCCTGTTTGCTCTTAATGTGAAATATTTAACAAGGTGTGTCCAGGAATAAATGGTTCCGCGCATAATGACCTGCATATTACGACCTTGTTAGCAGATATTTATAATGCTTTTCGTAAATTGTTGGAAGGAACCAGACATGTCAATTTTTGCTTCGAAGGATTTTCTTACTTGATTTTTGGCCCCCGATTCGACTTTCCGCACTAACCCTCAAATTTGAGATTTTCACTCGAAATTCGAAATGTCTTTGCTGATTTTTCGCCATTAACGTTTGAATTTTTCCAGATTTTTGGCCTTGGGGCGAAGGTTAGAGTACCTTCTATTCCACAAGGCCCAAACATTTTCGATTTCTACCAAATAGGGATATTTGGAGGGTTTTCTATTTTAAGGCCATTTGTCTCAATGTAAGCCTCGCTTGGAATTGTATAGGGAATTTAGATTTTATGTACAACTTCTGTTGGTAATCTATACTCACTGGGTTCCCTGCGTGGAAAAATGTGCTTTTCGAAGTCTTTGAGGGATCCAGATCGACGTGGGTATCGCCAGAATTGGTGAAAATTTTTCACGACATTTATCGACACGTTTTTTTGCAACTTTTTCCAACTCTGCTGTTTTGGTCTTGAACGTTTTTTGTGAGACTTCGCTTATTGTTTTCTGGAATCCCCAGTTTATGTACTTTGATGTTGCGGAACAAACTTTTTAGAAATTTGCAGTAGCCGAGCAGTGCCACGATTTGACGTGGAAGAGTTATTGCTGAAGAATTTTTTAATGTCTTTCAAGATTTGGGGGTGGCTGTGACGAGAGTTGATCTGAAAAGTTTTTTGAATTTCACTTTTTGTTATCCTCATACATAGAAATATAAACAGTGTTTGTTGTTTTGTAACATATTGCCGTTTTGAAGTACTGCCACGACCTGTTTGAAGGACAAAAAGTGACGATTTTGCAGTCGTGAAAATCTCGATTCGAGAGGTTTTCATTTTCACGGCGATTGCTACTAAATTTCATTAGTTTAACCAAAAATGCTTTATATCCCCTGAAGGCCCATGTAATTACGTTTCAAAAAATCAAAATGGAAAATAGAAAAATACACAAACTGCGCAGGGTAGGTACACAGTACTCGGTACCATTTATTCCTGGACAAGTTATATTTTAGAAAGAGATATAAAATAACTTTTCAGCGACATTTTGGTTTTAGAATTTCAGAGGTTTTTGAGTTGTTAAGTTTCTAGGCGAAAATACAGCTTCGTTCGATAACTCGGAGTATTTAATGGATAAGCTACAAATTATCTGGATTATTGGGTTAATTATTTGTGAGGAAGGACTTGTAAAGGGTATTTAAAAATCTACGAATTTTTTAATTTGAGTTGAACAGCATATTGGTTTATCTAGAAGCTGTACATCTTTTATTGGTATGTAGGTATACCAAGTGATCATATTGCCTGGCGCTGTATCGAAGGAGATGAGAAATCAAAATCTTGTGGGAAACAAGTCACAAACGAGACAAAATGTTACGATTCTTCTCACTGGAGTGCTCATTGCATATTTGAAACGAATTCAACGGAAAAATATTACACTCTGAAGGAGCAATTCAAAGTTTGCTGTGGTGGGGATGGCACCTGGAGAGACAGAGACACCTACGCACTTACAAGAAAAAAGCAGATACCTCTAGACGCCGAAATTGCAGAACAAAAATTGGAAAAAATTAACAACGCCAAGGAGGAAAAACTTATAGACTTAGAAATAGCGAAACTAGAATGCGTTGACGATGTGCATAAAAAAACAAACAAGTCCCTGACATATAATTGTCGCCAAGTCACCAGGAACAAAATGCTGCAGAAATTAGATGCTGTCAAAAAATGTTCCCCGCATAATGACTTCACAAATTGTGGAAAAGAAATGAAAGCGACAAAGAAGGATTTAATATTAGAATCCTTCAAAGCCTCTTGCGGTGCGGAGGACTTGGTCCGTACGGTTGACGAACATATAAACCTTGGCTTAACCCTTGGAGTCAAGCCGTCTGCGTATCAAGGACTAAATCAGACAGACTCCGCATTCTCATGTGGAACGAAGAATATTTATGTTGATAACCAAATAACGACCATCTGTGGGGAACTTGCCGACTCATCAGGTTGCTGGGCCAGTCTTGGTGGGAGAGAGTGGTGTCATGTAAGAAAAAACGTGAAGGAATGGGATAGAAGATACGTGCAGGAGGATGACTACATTTTTGCGACGTGTTGTGGTGGCGGTAGATTTGAAGAGAGGCCGGTACATGAGGTGAATCCAAGGTAAAGTTTTGTATGGTTGAGGACAAGCCCCATTTTGATCCTAACGACGAGGTCACAACTTTTTCCATCACTAAGAAAAGTACTGCGTATCTACATTATAAGCTGGAAATGTCTGTCCAAAGAATTTGTCCTCAACGGAAGTGAAAGTGGAGAAAGTCAAGTTTCGAATGGCGCGAAAATTAGAATTAAATTATTTATTTAAAAAATAAATTCCCCCATATAACCACTGTCAGACAACCACCTCCACATAAGCACCATCAGATAACCACAGTCTGACAATCACCCTCAGATAACCGCATGACAACCACCCCCGGATAACCATTATCTGACAACCACCCCAGATAACCACTGTCTGTCAACCACCCCCAGATAACCACTTTTTGGAAGTGGTGACAAGACGCAAAGTGCAGTGCTCACCAGTGCACACTTTACCAATGAATTATCTGGGGTTGGTTATCATGGGTGGCTATCTGGGGGTGGTTATCATGGGTGGTAATCAAGGTTGGTTGTCATGGGTGGTTATCATGGGGGGTTGTCATGGGTGGTTATCTGATGGTGGTTATCATGGGTGATGATTATGGGTGGTTATCTTGGCCACTTCAGTTTAAAGTTAAACACAATTGGAAGTCTGTCATTGGTATTCAGGATCCGCCACTTCAGTTTAAAGTAAAGTTAAAGTGAAATCGAAGTCAAGGCTACAACCGGCCCAAGATAACTGCCATTAGACATTTAATACGCGCCAGTCGAAACTTGACTTTCTTTGCTTTCACTTCGGCTTCCGACAGACTTTTGCATGTTGTAATTCTCGCTCGCCCGGCGGGAGACGGGCTTATACGCTAGTAGTAGATAAGTCTGAGTAATCCCTCGACGGTTTTACAGCGTATACAGGCGTGGAGGTTATCCGAGGTCGCAACCACAAGGTAAGTACAGCCCTGGCCGGGGATTATTGGATCTTGAAATTAGCTCGGAAATAGTGCACGCACCTCCCAAAAATCGTCCTCCCAAACCACCTCCTAAACATAAGTGTGGCAAATTGCCGAACGGAAGACTGGCATGTGGAACTGGGTATTGGTAGTTACATCTGGTAGCACAATAAAAGAAGTGACTTAGTAATTATAATATAATTGTATGAAGATTCCACAAGTTTAAATAATAAAAATATCATGGGTATAGCACTATTGTTCATCAAATTAATAGCATGCCTAACAAACAAGTTCCAAAGTTGCTTAGGTGGAAAAGGTTGCAAATAAAAAATATAACAAGCAATTCATTATTTCTTAATGTAATTACATTGACATTAATAGTTTGTATAAATAAGGGGACACAAATCCAACCAGTGTGTGGCAAATCCGTTTATTTAATAGACGCGACCGGTTTCGTAGTTAACTTTATCTTCACCAGGGCACAATGGGCCAGGAGCCTAAAAATGTGGCCATTAAGGCAGTATCTTGAATTGGCTACTCACATATTTCAACGTGTAGTACAGAACCAACCTGTCCTCCATGCAAAATATAAAACCAAACGTTACACACACTCAGGCGTACCCTAGGTGTAAACTTTTTATAATACATTACGAAGATAGGGCGGATACATTTTCTAATAACTTCCCAAAACTTCGCACATGGCGAGCTCAAAACGTATGTCATTATACAGCCCTTGATGCGCTGAGTATATCCTGCTGCGACCATCAAGCTTTATTCCAACCAGGCCCCGATTTTGGGGGGGGGCAACCGGGGCAATTGCCCAGATCGCTGAAAAGACAGGGGCGCCGCCAGGCGCCCGAGCGTACACTAGATAAGATTGAATGTCACCGTCCCCACTCTAATCTTAAAATTACATAAGAATGAGTGGCATACTAGGATCCCAGCGCGCCAGAAGAGTTTATGAAAAGACTCGTTTTAGGCCTTTTAAGATGGCCTTATAGATTTACCAAGATGTCTGTCTGTCCGTCCGTCTGTGCGCACGATAACTCTCTTTAAACACTAGCTATCGACTTGAAATTTTGCACACTTCATCTTCAGGTCAAAAGTAAGGATGAGTTCGGAGATGTCATCTTAAAAGTCCCCGCAA